TATGCCAGAGTTCCTTCCTCCTTCTCAGCAGGAGGGGAATCAATGCCATACTCCTCAGGAGAACGCCAGGCAGGATCCCTAAGTGCCTTCCAAATCACCATCAGGCACCTGATTCTGTGTTGGCTTTGAAAATGGGTGGCTTATAGATACAGTATTATGGCGCTGGCGCCAGATGCCTTGGCTTGACCTTCGAGATTCTCCATGGAATGATCCAAGACTACCTCCATCAGCCTGTCTCCTCGACACACATCCCTTCTGCTCCGCCGCTCCATGTGGGGCTTTCTGTTGATTATGTTCCTTCAGGACCTGCTGCCACCAGCGTCAAGAGGCCTCCGCGTGGCCCTTTCCCCCCTGTCCGTGCTGACTCGGCACCCCACAAAGAAAGAGAGTGTGGGGGGAAAGCCCCCCAGATCCCCTCTCTCGCTGCAGCCTTTCGAGCCATCCTCCAGCCTGCTTCCCACCCCGAGCAATACTGGTTTGGGGGAGCCTCTTTGTCTCCACCCCTGTGAGAAGTCATTTGGGGTTGCCGCCGTGGCCCTTGCAGTTCACTCTCCTCCCCGTCTCGACCCTCTTCCCTTTGCGGGTATTTTATTAGGCAGTGAAAGACATGTGTTGTTAGGATCAGGCATAGATAGGCGCTAGGGATGTGTGGAATGAGTCCCTTGGCTCCTGATGGGTGCTGCTGGCTGAAAAATGTCCCTTGTTAAAATGTCCCTCATGCATCTGGGTCATCTTTCCAAGTCTCCTGTTCCCAGGCCCACCCAGTTCTGGAGTGTGCAAGACAGATGTGGAATCGGGACGGAGCTGTGCCCGTTGGCCTCTGATTGGAGCGGGCGGGTGTCTCTGTGTGCCTCACCATTCAGACATTCTTCATGGTGCTATTTTTATCGTTAAATTGGTATCAGATGGGCTGGTCCAGCTCTTCACCCTGAGGCTGGGCGATGGGACGCTTGGTTTTTTCCAGGCAAAAAGGATGCGGTACGCAGCCTATCTAAATGCATCCCTGAACCCCAGACCTCACCAGGGACCACTGGAACCCTGGACCAGGCTCCCATGTAGTTAGAGCAAGAATGACAATCATTCCTAGTTCCCTCTTGACCTGGTTTCTGTAAAAGACTTGTGTTGGCCACCTTCTAAAGGCCAGGCATTGAACACGGCATTATGGATTCACCAGAAGGGATTGCCATGTGAAGTCTCAGTGCCTATTGGGAAATGTTGGTGAGATAGTTAAGGTTTATTGTGCCAACATGGCCGATAAACACTGGGATTAATTGAAGGGTGGAAAGATAAATGGCTCAGTGAGCCTCGCCTTTCTAGTTCTCGGGTCTCTTGTTCTCTGATGGTCAGACCAGTGTGA